TATTTGAGACAGAGAGAATGAGAGGGAGGAAGGTCAGAGGGAGAAGCAGACCCCCTGCCGAGCAGGGAGCCCGATGCGGGACTCGATCCCGTGACTCCAGGATCATGACCTGAGCCGAAGGCAGTCGCTTAACCAACTGAGCCACCCAGGCGCCCCTATATATTTATTTAAATCTATCTGAAGTTTATTTGGGGACATGAAGTAGTATAATCTTTTAAAGAAAATTTTAAATTTCCTTATTACACAAACATAAGGCTACTGTTTTGCTCACAAGCCGAGCGGAATCTGTCTGCCCTTGTGAGTATTTGTTAGTGGAAGGTGCTGCACACCCCACCCCCCCCAACCCGCCGACTACAACATCATTGCTGAGTTGACCCTTCCTGTGAAGTAGCCCAGGTGAGAGCTTACTGCCCAGGGTTACAGATGGAGTCTGTGGCTGTGAGTTCTCTTGTAATTTAAATGCGTCATAAACCCCAAACTTCGACCTGGATAGTAATATGCTCTTTCCAACTGAACCAACCGGCCCAGAAAACTACACAATAGACATGACACAGGCCTAGAACTGGAGTAAGCTCCTCTCTATCACCGTTTCAATGAAGACAACAAGTTCATCTCTATTAGATGTTGTTGACACTGAGTAATGCTCAACCTGACCATTTTAGAGGAGCCCAAACCAGCGCCAACCATGTCAGAATCCTGTGCAGCTGTACGCTTCCCAGTGAAACTGGTTGATAGGGAGAGGTGAATCTCAACTATCACACTGTTACTTCATCTCCAGGCTTGAAGTAACCCCGTTCTCAAATAATAAAGGACTAAAAATAGCTTGGGTACCTTTTGGTGGGGTGGTTACAGATAAGTTACCCCAACTCCAGAAATCTCAGGCTGGACTGGGCCAGATCTAGAAATGGTAGAGTAGAATTCAGTGAGCAGGAGTCAGGATGAAGCTACATAGCCCTGCCACTGTGTGCAGAGCGTGGAGGCCAGGAAGGAATTGCCGGTACAGGCTTTTTTCAAAACTCCAACCTCATTTTTATATGCAGCACAGTCACAATGAAGTGCAAATTTAAGTGTACAGTTTGATGTTTTGACAACTGTATATAGTTACAGAACTGCTGCGACAATTAAGATACAGAACATTTCTATCCCCCAGACAAGTTCCTTTGTGCTCTTTGCCACCAATCTCCACCCTTAGCCCCCAGCCCCCGGCAAGCACTGATAGGATTTCTGTTCCTATAGTTTTGTCTTCTAAAACACCATCCACATTGAATCATACAGTATGCTGTCATTCATGTTTGGCTTCTTTCACTTAACATAATGCTTCCAAAATTTATATATGTTGGTGAATGTTTCAGAAGTATATTTCTTTCTATTGCTGAGTAGTATTCCATCAATCACATGGACATGCCAAAAATTATGTTACCTATTCACTAGCTGTTGGACATTTAGGTTATTTCCAGTTTGGGGTGATGATGAATAAAACTGCTTTGAACATTTATATACAGGTCTTTGTGTGGACATATGCTTTCATTTCTAGGAGCAGAAGTGCCGGGTGATAAGGTACATGCATATTTAACTTTATAAGAAACTGCCAAACTGTTTGCACCAACTTGCAACCCCACTAACAATATATAAAAGAACCCAGTTGCTTTACACTTGGTATTGTCATAGTCTTTTTCATTTTGCCCATTCTAGTGGGTGTGTAGTGATATTTCATTTGCATTTCCCTGATAACTAATGATTTTGAGCATCTTTTCATATGGTTACTGGGCATTTGCATACCTTCTTCTTTGGTGAAGTATTTTCAAATATTTTGTACATACCCCCTTTTTAAATATTATTGAGTTGTGTGAATTTATTATAAATTCTGAAAACAAGTCTTATCAGATATAAATTTGAAGAATATTTTTTTCCAGTCTGTGCCTTTTCTTTTTATTCTTCTAACAAAAAATTTTTAATTTTTATAAAATTAAATTTACCCATTTTTTCTTTTATGATTAGTGCTTTTTGTGTCCTATTTTTTTTTAAAGATTTATTTATTTTAGAGAGAGAACACACACGTGAGAGCCAGAGGTGGGGCAGAGGAAGAGGGAAAAGGAAAGAAGCAGACTCCCTGCTGAGCTTCGTGAAGCCCAAAGTGGGGCTTGACCCACCACCCTGAGATCATGACCTGAGCTGAAATCAAGAGTCAGACGCTCAACCGACTGAGCCACCCAGACACCCCTTTTTGTGTCCTATTTAAGAAATCATTACCTTGGGGCGCCTGGGTGGCTCAGTTGGTTAAGCATCTACCTTCCGCTTGGGTCATGATCCCAGGGTCCTAGGATTGAGCCGGGCATCAGGCTCCCTGCTCAGTGGGGAGTCTGCTTCTCCCTTTCCCTCTGCCCCTCCTCCCACTCATGTTCTCTCTCTTTCTTAAATAAATAAATAAATAAATAAATAAATAAATAAATAAATAAATAAAATCTTAAAAAAAAAAGAAGAAAGAAATCATTTTCTTTCCAGGGACACAAAGATTTTTCCCTAAGTTTTCTTCTAGAAGGTTAGGTCCATAACCCATTTCAAATTAATCCCTGTAAATTGTGTAAAATAAAATCAAGGTTCTTTTTTTGGGGGGGGGTCTATGGATAACCAAAGGCCTTCCTTTTCTCACTGAAATCCTTTGGCATTTTTGTGGAAAATCAGTTGGCCATAGATGTGTAGGTCTACTTACCCTTCTATTCTGTTTCATTTCTATCCATGTGCCATTATCATGCTATCTTCATTACTATAGCTTTATAACAATTCTTGACATGAGGTAGTCTTTCAACTTTTTTACTTTTCAAAATTGTTTGATTACTCTATGTCCTCTACAATTCCACATAAACGTTAGAAATACCATGCAAATTTCTATTTAAAAAAGCTGTTGGGTACTGACTGGAATTGTGTTGAATCCATAGATCAATTTGGAAAAGAATTCACATTTTAACATAAGCCTTCTGATTCATGAACATATTATATCTCTCCATTTGTTTAGGTCTTCTTTAATAACACTCAGCAATATTTTGTAGTTTTCAATGTGTAAGTCTTACAAATGTTTTGTTAAATTTATCTGTAAATATTTTTCCTCTTAATTTCAACTTCCAAACAATCCTTCTTAATACTGATTGATTACAAGAATCTAATCCTACATTCTTGCTAAACTCACTTACTAATTCCAGCAGCTTTCTGTAGATTCTTTAGGATTTTCTACATAGACAATCATGTCCTCTACCAATTAAGACAGGTTTACATCTTCCTTTCTAATCTACATGTCCTTTATTTTTTTTCTTGTGTTACTGCACTGCTAGGACCTACAGTACAAGCCAGATAAGTGGTAACAGTGGACATCCTTGCCTTATTCCTGATCTTAATGGGGAAGTATGATGTAGGGCCCTTTTTTTTTTTTTTTGTAGATGCCTTAGTAAGGTTTGAAAACTATTCCTAGTTTGCAAGACTTTTTATCATAACCAGATGTTGAATTTTGTCAAATCTGGCAATGTGCTAATGATAACTTCCAAGATTATAGACAAAGAGAATCTGAAATGGAAGGGGGATTCAGGATCAGTCAGTTCAATCACCTAATTTACAGAAGAAGAAATGAAGGTCCACAGAGGTGAAATGACATGCTCAAAGTCACAGCTGTTTACAAAACAAACTAGATCTAAAGCTTAAATCTCAAGATGCCTACGCATATGCATTTTTTATAATTTACTTCTAGTAGAAATGAGCTAAAGCAACATCTTAGAGGTGAGAGGAAAGAAAACACAAAGATCAGAACTTCTTTGCAATTTCTGAGAAAGTGCAAAGGACAATGATGTGTTTTAACTGAGGCACTAGGTTTCTAATGCAAGTGGTAATCTCTACTGCCAACTACGGGGAGGGGTCAGGGAAGACGAGAGGATGGCCAAACAGCCAGAACTCATTACTCATTTGCCACTAACAAAGTTATTCTTTATAAACATATAAGAAAATAGGAACTCCCTGAAGATTTTCAAAGACTACATCAATTTGGTAGCATTGCTTTACCAAGCTGGTAAGTCCTATTTTGAATCTTTGATCACTTTGTGAAAACTATCTGGATTATTTTTATTAGGGTATTATGGGGTTCTGCTGTGTTTTTATAATTTAACAAAGTCCAAGAATCCCTCAAAACATCAAGACAAGAGAAAGCAAACCTCAATGGGAGAAAACTGACCTGGGAGGTGAGGGTGATGCTTGGCTGCGACTGTAGGAGGTTGGCTTGGCTTTGCTGAGGTAGTTGCGTTAAAAGATTTTGCGCTTGCAGGAGACCTGTAAAACAAAAACGTGTCATGTGAGAAACACTAAAGATTACTTTGAACATATGACAAAATAGAGAATAAGAAAGCGAAGTGAAAATTTCCAGCTGATCTCTTGATAGTTTTTTTTTTTTCCTTAAAGATTTTATTTATTCATTTGAGACACAGAGATACAGAGAGAGAGAGAGAGAGAGAAAGCATGAGCAGGGAGAGAGGCAGAAGGAGAGGGAGAAGCAGGCTCCCCACTGAGCCAGGAGCCCGATATGGGGCTCGATCCCAGGACCATGGGATCATGACCTGAGCCGAAGGCAGACGCTCAACCATCTGAGCCACCCAGGCGCCCCCAATCTCTTCATAGTTTTATCAGTCTTAAAACTCTTAATGTCTTATTTGCCTAAAATTCAATCTTGTTAAATACAAGTTGGGCAGAAGACATGGAACATTAAACTAAAACTGATGTATGTATTTGATACGGTGTCTGACAATCTCTCTGATCAGCCAATCCTTTATTTTAGTAAGGAATGGATGAAAATGAAGAAGTACTCTATACAAAAGCAGCTTGAAACTCTAAAAAGAGCTCACCTTCTTAACCCAGAATCCATTAGAAACTGCCAGTAGATGTTGGACCAGAGAACTGTCTGGTTCATGAAAGGAGCAAGCTATCTATTAAGAAGTGGAATAGGTATTTACACAATGAAAGATTTTAGAATGAACCATCAAGAAGAAGAAGGCTAAAGGACAGAAATAATGAGGAATTGGTAGAGATGCACTAGTATTTCTTGGGATGAAGTCTTGATACCCTGAATCTCTCTACACTGACTCCATTAACCAATCTTACAAACATGATTGAACTTAACTGTCTGATACAGAAGTGACACAATATTTACCACTAAAAGGCCTTGAACTTTTTTTTAATAACTCAAAAACCTGCAACTTCTAATATAACATCCTGTCCCTTCCCAAACTTTAAGAGAAAACAAATGATTGTTAGAAGCATATGCTTTTAATGCCCAGCCCACCTTTTTAAATACATTCTCAAGAAAAACTATCAAAATACTAGAAGTAATTTATGTTGAAGGATTTCATTTAGATTGTTGGCCAAACTCTTGGATCCCCCCTAGTGATTAAACAGATGAAAGGCATTAAAGGACAACTTCAACATGTGGTATGCGTGACCAAAAAATGTATTTTTCTTAACATGATACTGAGTTTGAAGTTAGAGTAAATGTAATAAAAACACTGTGCTCATGGAGTTCCAGGGCCAGAATGACAGCAGTGGATGTAGGAGCCCCCAAAGGAGAGCCCCATGTACCGCGGGCAGGTGCGGGGGAGGTGCTCACCCTGCTGGCCCTGGGGCGTCTGGGAGATGATGAATTGCGCTGGTTGCAGGTTGGTGGTCGGATGCACCAACACAAACTGCTGCAGGTTGAGATTCTGCTGCTGAAGCTGCTGCAGCTGCTGCAGATCCTAGAAAACCAGAATTACACCACAGATTAGAGATCCTGAAATCAAAACCTCCTGAATCATACGGTTCCCAGATGATGAACTGTGGCATCCAAATAAAAAAGAGTCAATATTTTACAATATTTTCCATTCTTCGGAACAGGGTACGCCTGGGTATGTTCCCAAAGAAGAAGCAAAGAAGAAACCTGGAGCGGCCATAAGGACTGATGATTTCTGTGGGTAGCTACTGCGTCATGACTTAGGCCAAACCTGATTTCCAATAGTTATTTCAAATTTCCTCAGAACAAATGGTTACAGTTGAGTGTTGTAACATGTAAAGACCAATATGGGTTTTAAAAATCAAGTGAGAAAAGAATATGTTGAGTTTTTAAATATTCAACTGATCTTTCTCTTAAGTAAAAATGGAGAGCGCTAAGTTTGAATTTGCATCAATAAATTAAAATATCTATAACGATTCATTAAATTTGGCACCAGTCTAACTCAACTGAGAAATCAGTGTAAAAATACCTAAAAATAGCTATCCACATAAAAATCCAAGCCATAGCATACTAAACTTGCTTATCTTGGTTTAGCGTTTCATAATTTTCAATGTGTTTCCATGGCACATTATCTTATGAGAATAATGTCAACATAGGGTTCTCAAATCTTACACACTAAAAACATTGTATTTGGTGAGGAAGAAAGTGGCCAAAATTAAACATTATCTTGATAAAGCTTGTATATAATGGTCATAAAAATTAGTCTGACGTCTATTCTTTTTTTTTTAAGATTTTATTTATTTATTTGACAGAGAGAGACAGCGAGAGAGGGAACACAAGCAGGGGGAGAGGGAGAGGGAGAAGCAGGCTTCCCCGCAGAGCAGGGAGCCCGATGCGGGGCTCAGTCCCAGGACCCCGGGATCATGACCTGAGCCGAAGGCAGACACTTAACGACTGAGCCACCCAGGCGCCCCAGTCTGACATCTATTCTTTACTCATATAGTTAACTGGCTCTTTTTCAATGTCTAGTCAAACTCTAGGTACGATGTAAATCCACTTCTGCACTTCTGAGTCTTCTCTAGGGGGACAGAGATCATTGTCTAGCACTAGACTTGTAAGAATTCTTTCTATGACATACTGATATGACTACTGGTACTTTTTTCCTCTCCTTGAGATAAAGGATTTCATTTACCTTTCTTCCTTGGTAGTACTGTCTATGCCTCTTAAATAACTTTTTATTATCTGTGGATACTTTGCCCTAAAATGTGAATACTGAAACCAAACAACATTCTAATGCAGTTCTGCACGGAGTTAATCACTCTGTAGCAGAGATGACGTGCCACCTCTCTCACACGAGTGGCAACATTCACTGCAGAGCACATGAAAGAACCCATGCCCGCCATAATTAGCTAATTAAAATAAATACAGTAATCCCCTGCTTCAGAAATATGCCAACTAATTATTCAAGAATTGTCACTTAATATAAACAGTCAGTTATTCAAATAATCAGTTATGTGTTTATAATATCAACTCAAATAAGCAAACAAATGTATTATTTCTAGTGCAGTGGTAAGGAAGGCTACCACACACTTCCCCGATCTAGAGCTTCTCACGTCCTTAAGGGCCCACACTAACCATCAGGAAGTGAATTTTATACTAAAGGAAACCTGCCGTTTTCTGCCTCCCCTTCGTGCCCAAGCCCCAGGAGAGACTCACCTGTGCGATCTGTATGGGCTGAGACAGGGGGATCTGCGTCATGGGCGTGGCGGCGGAGGCTGAGATGGTGGCCCCAGCAGCACTGTGCTGTTGGCTGGCGGAATGCTGCTGCACGGCTGCGGCCAGCAGCTGGGCCTGGGCCTGGGCCTGCTGGAGCAGTAACTGCTGCTGGGCTGGCGTCAAAGTAAGCTGAACAGAAGTACAACAAACATTCGGGAAGGTGTGAAGGACAAGGGCCCCTACTACAAGCCAGGTGGTATAAGACCCTAGCGGCCCAACTTCATGTAGGTAGCATGAGACTAGAACGTTCATCAGCAATCAAGCTACCATTACTAGCAGAACGGTTACATTAAAACGGTGGTTCTCACTCTGGACTGCATCATTCAAGCTCATCCAGGGCCCCAGAGTTCAGGCAAAAAAGTAATTAAGTAGTAAGCAGGAAAAAAAGGAATCAGTGCTGACAGGATATGAAAAGAAATTTACACCCAACAGAACAGCAAGTGATTAGTCAGATGAATGAGGAACAAGGATGCTGGATCTGACCACGGAAAGAACTGATAAGGCCCAGCTGCTTCCCATTAGCATGAATCTCTGCCATATTCCATCATTTCCATTATGTCCGAAGATATGACTAAAGAATATGAGCTCCATTTGTTTCTTTTCCAAGTCTCCCTACAGCCCCTCCCTAACCCAGTCTTTTCTATTATTGAAAGCACTGGGTCTCTGCAACTTTACATCCCCTTTCCAACACATTATCTCGGTGAAACAGGTGGTGACAGCCGCTCTCTCTACATGCAAATGAATCCTAATGCCCAGGTTTCAGAGAAGCTCCAGCCACATGAACCTGGAATCCCAAGTGTCTCTTACTATTGTAGACACTAATCACCCAAAACAAACCCAAACAGTAAAACAGGAAATGTATTTAGAGCAGATTTAAACTTGCTTTCATAACGCAACTTATTTCAAACACAAAGTAGTAAGTGTGTTTTGCCTTCCTTTTGGTGGCATGATCTGATCAGACAAGAAGGAATCCTAGACTATCTCTCTCTCTCTTTTTAAGCTTCTCTTTTTTTGGTAATCTCTACACCCAACATGGGGCTTGAACTCACTACCCTGAGATCAAGATTCACATGCTCTTCCAACAGAGCCAGCCAGGTGCCCCACCTTGGAATATATTAAGTGCATTCACTTAGTGGCACAACTCTCCTTCTAAAAGGGTCCAATACAATTCGCGCATTGGAGGCATAAGAATCAAAATCAAACCATTCAAAAACTTAATACCTATCAAGGTATATTTGACTATAAATATTTTATATAATACATAAACATACTAATCTTTGAGGAGATTTTTATTTTTACTTATCTTAAATTTTATTTAAATTCAATTAATTAACATAGTATATTATTAGTTTCAGAGCTAGAGCTCAGTGATTCATCAGTTGCATATAACACCCAGTGCTCATTACATCACGTGCCCTCCTTAATGCCCATAGCCCAGTTACCCCATCCTCCCCCACCTCCCCTCCAGCAACCTTCAGTTTGTTTCCTATGATTAAGAGTCTCTTATAGTTTGTTTCTCTTGAGGGGATTTCTAAAATAGTTTCGCGACAATTCTTAAAAGAGCCTTTCCACTACCAAGACATACTTAACTAAAATAAAGGAAATAAAAATTTGTGTGGGTTGATGTGATGTGAATTCAACAATAACAAATAACTCTTCCTTACCACTCTCCTAGCCTCTCCACCCACAAAATAACTTAACAGCAAATGTTTAACACTGGAAAATATTTTTGGTGTCTTAGAGCAAAGAGAGCTGAAAAGTTAAAAGTTAATATATTCATAAAGGCCAATTTATTACCAATAATAGTAAATGACATTTATCGACTGTTACGTGCCAAGCACCGTTCGTTCTTTGAGTTTTACAAATATTGTTACTCTTACTCTTTGTAACAATATTGTGAAATAGCATCTTACATGGATAACATCTCCGTTTCACTGAAGGAAAACTGAGGCACAGGGAGATGAAGTAATTAGCCCATACAGCAAACTGCAGAGCCAGGATAGGAGACCAGAGGTTTCGTTTGAGAACATTACACAGTAACTTAAAGAAAATGTTTTTCTTTTGTAGGTACTAGTCCTTTCTTTAACTTCTACTCTGCAGCAATATTGGAACTCCAAACTGATCACTCTAATTTCATCATTGTAATGGTCTCAATCACAGGATGACTCCACTGCATGATGAAGCAGCAGCTGAAACTGGAGTTTAAAGAAGTCTTTAGCTTATCTAGAGCATCTGCAAAAGTAAGAAAAGATACCCTGAAAACGTATGACAGAGATAATTCCTTTTTCAGAGCTGCCTATAGTATAGAAAATGCCTTAAAGAAAACAGCGTCAGGCATAGCAAACTGTTCTAACCCAAGCATTGGCCAGTGGCCGTTGTGACACAAAGAAAGCTTACTAGAATTCTCCCAGTGAAGACTCACCCCAGTTATCTGTCCTCCGGCCAGCATGAGTTGGGTCTGGGGGATGGCTGCTTGCACTGAAGGCTGCTGGGAGGGCTGGCTGGGCTGCTGGGAGTCCCCCGATTCTTCATTAGGTTTAGACTGAGGTGGGTGGGTGGTGGTGGGAAGGAATAAGAGATTTCAAATAATTGATTAAAAAACCTATACTTATTTACAACATGGATTTATCTAGTCATGAGTTTTCTGGTTTCATTCTTTTCCTTTCCTATTAATCTCTGTATTTTCCTAATTTTAACACAGTAAGTTTTTAGACTTTTTTTCCTTTAAAAATCACATTTATTATTTGTTGTTTTCTAACTATAAAAGAAATGACCAAATACGGTACACATAAAAGTAGAAAAATAAAATATAAAAATTATCCACAATACAAGTTTTTGGTGTGGACTTTTTGTTCCAATGCCAGCGAAGCTGCAATTACAACTTTTAAGAAGAAAAAATAATTGGGTCCTCCACAAATCAACAGGATTGTTTAGAAACCCCAATCCTCAACTTCGGAAATAAGGAGAAAGGGAAGAGCACATTCTCAATCCATTTCTACATTAGACCCTCCATCCCAACATTCTAAGATGTATTTTGGTGGTCAGCCTGAAACTTCCTTATATATCATCTCAGAAATTGGTTACTTGACCTACAGAAGTTTTCATCTAATATTTAAAATAACTGTAAATTTAGCATCTCCCATCAAGTAACACACAAATTTAGAGGGAAAATGCTGCAGTCAAGAGGGAAAGAGGACATAGTCCTAAAAGGGACACTAAGGGGAAATTTTATGGTAATTAAAACTGGTTATGCAGAGCATTAAAATTCTGCATAGATTTGCATACTTCCCACCACCTGTTTTGGGGACTGCAGCAAGGCTAATTAACATAAAGGCTCTGATTAATTCTGCCAGTCACTGAGAGAGAATTACAGTGCAGGACTGTAAACACGCCGTACTGGAGAGACAGTCTGTTTGCCAACATCTCTCGAAGGGATGGAAGTTTACCATGGCAACCAAGGCAATTTTCCGCCTCCTCTCCCTCAGAAGGGAAGGTCACATTATCTCCTTTTCTCTTCTCTTCTCCCTGCCATGTGTTACTAGGTCCATATTCCACTGGGTTTCATGGAATGCTCAACCCAAGGTCTTTAGTCATTAGCAACACTGAAATCAATCTTCTAGAATAGGGTTTTCTCCTCTTGACTGTTAGTAACCCAAACACTATAAGGAAAGGAAACTGGAGATCAACTGAACTATGGAGTAATGCATAATAACTGAACTTTGCATGTTTTACCATATGATTTATATCAGCAAAGTAGCCAGATTTAAATTTTGTTTTTAAAATTTTGACTGTATGAAGCCCGTCAATGACTATAACAGGTTTAGTTAGAAACCTTAGAATCATAGCATTTTAGAGCAAAGAGGAACTTTGGCAAGCTTCTAAACTCCCTACTTAAATAAATGTAAGAGAAAAGGAACCCCAGGAGGTTAAGTGACTTGCTAAAGGTCACACAGCTAGTTAGTGGCAGAGTGAGAATGTAAACCTAAGACCTTTGTATCTCAGTCCAGTGTTCTTTCCTCTACACTATAAAATGACAATTAAAAAAGACATCTGGAAACAGAAAGGGCATTAAGATTTATCTGGCTTTGTGTTTAGGTATGTGTTATCACTGTATAACTTAGAAACAGTTTACTAAACTTACGTATCCAACTCTGAAAGTACACTTTTCTTGTTCACCTTTTGTCATTCACAGTAGCATAATATGAACTGGATTTTCATTAATGTCAATGATTATCATTATTTGGAACTCAATGACATTAGGTAATAAAAAAAGGTAATACTTCTAAATATTTCCTATTATAAAATTATTGCATGCTCATTATAAAAAATCCGAAAAATATGGTAAAAATGTGTAAAACTGATCCATAATCCCATGACCCAGCTTACCTGTACATTTAAAGACTGAGCAGCAGCCTGTAAACTTGTTCCAGCGAGCTGGACCTGAAAGTAATCAGGTAAAGTTCTAGTCTGATACTGTTGACATCCATCATTATAAGTTGACATCAACAAGTATTTCAAGAATCTCTACTAAGTGCATGTCACTGAGTTAGAGCTGAGAACACAAAGAGGCCTATCTTATAGGGTTAAAACTTTATGGACAAGATCACAGTTCCTCTACCTCCCACCAGAAAGTGCTGTTAACATTTCTTTTCTAAAAATGTTTTCCCATACTAAGCTAGCATCATCAGACATGCCATACTGTATTAGGCATTCCTTATATAACATCCTGTTTGTATTCACTGGACATTTAGGTTCTAAAAACTTAATTCATCTTCCATTGTATTAAAGAACACGTAAGAACAAGCTACTTATATACATTATTTTTATCATTATAAACAATCAGAATAATCTACTCATTCTAATTTCAAAATTTTCATGTACATATCAGAGTAAAAACCTTACATATATATACACAGTCAAGTTCTTAAAACATTTATAGTCATAATTCAAAACTGCTGGCTGAAATAAAGAATCTGTCTTATAAACCACACATGAAAGTGTCATAATATTTATTTAATATATTTTATGCATTCAGAAAGCTAAAACCATGATTATATTAGAATAAGGATCATTATTTGACAACCATGTTAATTATAACTGATTCTGGCAAGTGTCATCAATGGATGATGCTTTAACGGTGAAATCTGAGGAATAACATGATAGTTCCATATTCTCAACTCTCTCTCCATAGATATTTACTAATTACAAAAAGTAATTAAATGACACATGTGCCTTCTGGTATGATCCACTAAGAACACAGCATTACTTACGTTGTATTCCTCCCCAAACCCAAACTGAGCAACACTATACAAAATAACTAGTTTGTATTCTTCAAAAATGTCAATGTCTTGAAAACAAAGAAAGACTATGGTGGGAGAGAAAGAATATAAACTAGGGTAGAATAAATGGAAGCCTAAATTAGAATGGCAACAGTCAGCATAAAAAGTAGTTAACATGAGAGGCATTCCAAGGTACTACAGAGGATCCTGGCAAATGAATGGATATAGACAAAGAAAAAAGTCATGAATTATTCCAGGGTTCAAATCTGAGAGACTGGAAAAAAGGTAGTGTCATTGACAGGAAGCCAATAAGTTCCATTTTGGATATATCACACAGCATCAAGGTTTCCTAAAGTTAAATACAAGTGTTGATATGGAGCTCAGGATAGAGTTCAGAGCTAAAGTGAACAGACTGCTGCCCTTTATTTAAAACTAATAGTCCTGTTAGTAGATAAGAGCCCTCAGAAACAAACCTAGACATTTACAGAGAACATATTTTAGATGCAGTGTAATCAAGGGAGGATTATCTGAAAAGATAGTTATGTTTAAGACCCAAAGGCTAGGGGTGCCTGGGTGGCTCAGTCGTTAAGCGTCTGCCTTCGGCTCAGGTCATGATCCCAGGGTCCTGGGATTGAGCCCTACATCGGGCTCTCTGCTCAGCGGGAAGCCTGCTTCTCCCTCTCCCACTCCCCCTGCTTGTGTTCCCTCTCTCGCTGTGTCTCTGTCAAATAAATAAAATCTTAAAAAAAAAATTATAAGACCCAAAGGCTAAAAATTCAGCCAAAGAGCCAGAGGAAAGAGTTTTGGGTACAAAGATTTAAAGGAGATAAAGTTTCTATGTGATTTTATTTAAATCATGTTGTTTCTGGGTAGACGTTTGTTGAGGAAGAGGATAGTTACAGGTCTTAAAGTATCTCCTCATGGATTATTTCTGGAATTTGAAATTTATATTATAGTTGTATAAAAGAATGCTGTTTTTAGGAAAAATGTGATGAAGTATTTAGAAGTAGAAGGTCATAGTGCCTGCAACTTACTCTAAAATGATTTTATTTATTTATTTGACAGAGAGAGACAGAGCGAGAGCAGGAACACAAGCAGGGAGAGTGGGAGAGGGAGAAGCAGGCTTCCTGCGGAGCAGGGAGCCCGATGCGGGGCTCAATCTCAGGACCCCGGGATCATGACCTGAGCCAAAGGCAGACGCTTAACGACTGAGCCACCCAGGCGTCCCTGTATATACATTTTTTATATGTGTGTTTGTACACCCACATACACACACACACACAGAGCAAAGATAGTAAACAGTAATAGTTGGTGATTCCAAGTGAAGGACTTTCAATTGAAAACTGTCCTATAGTTGTAACTTTTCTATAGATTTGAAAATTTTCAAAATAGAAAGTTGAAAATAAAAAGTGAGAGCATCCCTTTACCACTTCATTTAGCTACCTCCCAACATCCTTCAAAACTTAGCTCAAAAGTCATCCTCTCTATGATAAATGTCTTAGATTATACAGGTTGAGCTAATTATTTCTACCTCTCTATTCCCATACAACTTTACCATTCATTTATTCAGTAAATAATTACTTAACATCTATTATAATTTGGGCTCTTTGGAAAATGCTAGGATAAAGATAAATAAGAAAAGGTTCCCATCTTCATGGAACTTATGGGGTGACAGATCTAAAGTCATCTACTTTGTATTTGTGTACACACATTTATAATTATTTTAAGGAAAAGGTCAGAGTATGAACCTGGTCAATAAGAGGGCTAGAAATAGAAGGTAAGTGTCACATTCGTGTTAATTATGTGTCTAATCAGATGGTGAGCAATTCTGAGGGGACTGACATCTTGATGGAGAATTCAGTGATGTCATGATTTCATATCCAATTCACTGATTTAAAGTCCTTTGGTTTAGGGGATATTGAAGATTCAATGATTTTGGTAATCAGCTGGAGACCTTGGAGCTGAGTAAGAGTTGTACTCTTCTTAGAATTCGGATCCAATGGAGAAAAGACTGCATATCATCTATGTACCTTTGGGGATTTTTTAATATGTTTTGACCACCACAAATTTAAGCCAGATAGAGGCTTAATATGTACCACATACATTGACTACCAAAAATGTTATTCCTCTAAGAAACCAGAAAACTTGTTGGAGGCTATAAATGTTTTTATTTTTTAATTTTGTTTTTTAAAGATTATTTATTTATTTGAGAGAGAGAGTACACAGAGTGAGAGGGAGAAGCAAACTCCCTGCTGAGCAGAGAGCCTGATGTGGGGCTCAATCCCAGGACCCTGAGATCATGACCTGAGCTAAAGGCAGATGCTTAACCAACTGAGCCACCCAGGTGCCCCCAACAAATGTTTTTAGAAGAAAATTGACATGAAAATAACATTTTTGGTTTTCTATAATATATTCTTAAATTATTTTAGATGCTAAATCATCTTAATATTTTATCTAGAAGTTTCATATAGAAGTTTCTCTACTTCGAAAAACACAAACAAAGCTACGCAGCTGAGCAAAAGTGTGTCACAGCTAGGGCCTCACTCCAGTAGGAGACGCTAATTGCTGCCTGTATAGTAATCCTTTGAATTTGTGAATAAATGGGCTTTAGAGGACCTTTCTAAAATTGCACCTATTTCAAGTGCAGGAGCTTCTTTTATATAAAGTTCAGGTAGTCTAAAGACAGAATTTATGAACTCAGAAGACATATGAAGACACATTTTATGAGAACATATTCTGAATTGAGAGCCTTACACAGGTCTTGGGCAATGGTGGCTACATCCTTTTGGATGACTCTGTAATCTACTACCTTCAGTGAGCCATCACAGACCCACAGTGACAAAAACAGCAACCCGGTTGTTACGTGTATTCCATTCATAACAAAGAATTCTTTTTTTCACAAAGCTGTGAGGTCAATAGCTATAGAGTCAATTAAACTAAGAATCTAACCATTCAAAAGGACACAATCAGATGTGATTAGCACCAGGCTTTAATCATTTTAAAAAGTCCCACATACTGAAATAACTTTCCCAGGCCTTAACATTCCATGCCTCCAGTTTTTACTCTCACATATGGTTGAGCAGAGCATTCTACCTGATGGAGATGTCCAAGGAAAGCCTGGGCCTGGGCTGTTGAGATTGCTCCTCCAACAGGCACAGGCTGCTTCTGAAAGTCCAGACCATTGGTTTGTGTGCCTAGAAAGCAAGCAAAAGCATGTAACTATTAAAAACAAACTCCACTTCAGTCACGAGCATTTATCAGGTATCTATTTTGTATTAGTACTTTCCTAAGTACCTCCATGGATGAGAGGGATTTCAAAGAAAGATGAAATACAGTAAAATGTTTTCTCCTCTCAAGGGAGGACTGTAGGACAAGTAAATGAACACAAAGGTTAGGAAACAAACAAAAATATAATGACTTCTAATCATAAGACGGTGTCACAGAATTCAGAAGTGATGCAGTGATTGGGGTCAGAATAAGCATGGCACTTACAAGCATTAAGGAAGACAGTATCACTACTACTGTTGTAAAGAATGGTATGAGACAGACTTCCAAGGAGGAACTGAAGCTCTCTTCTGGTATCCCCCTTCTCAAGATTTGGCATGGGCAGAAGAAATTCACTAGTGACTTTGCAAGATGATTTATTCTTAACTTATACTTTTAATACATGACAATCTGATGGCAAAAACAACCATTTACATGATAAACAAAATAGTTTTACTAATTTCTTGAATCCTAAAGCATATATCTAATTAGCAAGAGCCCTGCTGTTATTATAATCTTCCAAATGTTATGCCTGTGTATTTTAACCACTTATGCTGCAATCTGATGCTAGAATAGGACCAATTTATGGAAAGACATACCATCCTAATATTCAGAAATATTTTTTAAGGATATAATACATTGTTTACAAACTAAAATATCCAGATATTATTTAGAAATTTCCAGAATTCCTTGTACTCAATAAAATGTAACAGGAACCTGCAAGAACCACTGAGGCACATGAATGTGGTACTGAACTTCCATTTCCTACCACCCTAACAACCCGTCTGCCCATCCTCATTCCTGTGTGTACACACACGGAGCACACCAGTCAGGACAGGATAAGCCAGAACCTTAAGGTAGTATTTCTAAATGGCTACTCACTTCTGCCATTATATATCCTAACTAACTTCTAGCAAATGTATCCCTTTAATAGAATAATGAGGTAGATTACATGACTCAAAACAACTATTTAAGGTTTCCTTGAGATAATTATAAAAGGAGTGTCTATATATTTCACCTGCTTAAAACCTCACAGTGATTTTTCTTTTATGGTTTTTTCCTAGCTTCCCATAAATAGAAAACAAAAGAACTATCTAGACATATACAGTCAATGAAATTAAAAGGGTATATATCAGATAATGAGAAACTAGTATGAAATAAAATTTAAATTAGGGTCACTTTCATAGGCCACATATAGAAGCTTCATTATTTTAAAGTTACACGTTTTGTCATTAGCTGCTCTCTATTTCTACGTAGAAAATCATTACTTAGGTTGATTTTAAGATTGTGCATCCTTAGAGAATTATGCTCAATATATATTACATAAATCCACAAGGCTAAATGAAGATGAGATTTTGAAAAACAGAGACAAGCACTTAGAGATTAACACATCACCAATACAGGAAGTCTTCCAGAACCAAATATTTCACTCTCATGGAGACCATGAAAATTCTACACACTGGTTCCACTTTCAAGTTGCCACAAAAATGATATACCCCTTGTAACTCACAAAGCACTATACGATAAGACTGACTGATTTCTATCCCTGGTAGAGAGCCTACTATAGTGGCCTACAGGTAATACTATTTAAGTGCCCTGGCTCTACCATCTTGGGGGGATGCATAAAGGCATGGTACCCAAAGCTAGTAAAGTAAAAGAACATTCTTGGACAACAATTCAGATAAACAGAGATTTAAGATGCAAAAGCAGGTACTTATTTAAGTAAAATTCTGAGGCTCCACGAGGAGGTCATGGATGGAAGAAAGTATCTATCACATAGAAATCATTCTTGTAAATCATAAAGACCTAAATTGGGCTAAAAGGAAACAAGAGGGGAACAGACAGACAGACAGACACACACACACATATGTACACATCTGACTTGAGTTTGAAGCCAGTACAGGGAGATAAGGATGTTGGGAGCCAAAACCAAATGTGTATCAGAGAAAACAGAACATCCAAATAAGGAAATGGGGAATTAACAGGTTGGGAGAGAAGGGTAATGATGTAAGGAGATTCTGTATGTAACACATACAGAATTTGAGAAACCCCAAAACATGTAAGAAAAATGATCTGGGGCGCCTGGGTGGCTCAGTTGGTTAAACGACTGCCTTTGGCTCAGGTCATGATCCCAGAGTCCTGGGATCGAGCCCTACATCGGGCTCCCTTGCTCAGCGGGAAGCCTGATTCTCCCTCTCCCACTCCCCCTGCTTGTGTTACCTCTCTCGCTGTCTGTGTCAGTTAAATAAATAAAATCTAAAAAAAAAAAAGTGATCCAGAAGGCACTGAGAAATAACAAAGGCCAGAGCTAAAGATTCTATAAGGTTGCCACAAGAACAGTGTTACTGAGGTGAACCTCAGAGATCTTGAATCCAACCTCCTTATTTTATTGGTGAAGAAACAGATTAAGGAATCTTAAGTGACTTGTTCAAAATGTCATAGCTAGTTAGTGGAAGAGCCAATACAAGGATGGGGTCCCCTGATTCTGTGTAATTACTCACAGAGAAGTGATAGTTGAAATTTGGAGTAAAAACGTCAATCAATTAAGAGTGGATATAGAGAAAAGAAGCCTGAAGATAAGAGGGCACCTACATTAGGAGATGTAAAGACAAAGAGAACCAGAGAGGAAGCAGTTAGAAAACAGGGAGGGAAAAAAAAAAAAAAATCCCTCAGGACTAGTGCGCTTCAGGAGCCAGGCAAAAGAAAGCTACAAGGATGGGGTAGTTTACTACTGTCAAATGGTACAGAACAGGATCAAATACTGAAAAAGAAATTAATCCAAAGACAATAGATGAAAGGCAGTAATAAAGGAAGGCCAAAACTTAATGAAATAGGAAAAAAAAAAAAACCAACTGTTGGTAAACTGTGTTTACCAACTTGGTTCTTTCAAAAGAATCATATAGTTACAAACTTCTGGTAAGATTGAAGAAAAAAATAAAAGAGAAGGAGCAAATAATTTAAGGATAACAGAAAGAAGGACATAATCAAAAAATGTTGTGGATACTAAAAAGAGGATATCATGAACCAATAAAATATATGCCAATAAAATTAAAACTTAGAAATGGATTACTCTCTAGAAAATATCAAGACTGACTCAAGAAGAAATAGAAAATCCCAAGGGTCCTACAGCATTTGAAGAAATTTAATTTGTAAGTAAAAATCTTCCCAAAAGGAAAAATGAAAACCTAGAAAATTTTACTCTGCTTGCTTCCAGAAATCCAAGGGACAAGTAATTCCAATCTTACGCAACTTTTCCAGAGTATGGGGAAAATAGGGAAACAATTCCTAACTCATTGTATGAGGTCAGCATAAACTCACTACCAAAACCTGACAAAGATGAGTATAAAAAAGAAAAAAAAAATACATGACAGTTTTACTCACAAACATACATAAAAATAGCCTAAATAGTACTAGAAAAAATAATCTAATAAGGTAAAATATTTGGAGTTTTGAGATTAAAAAAAAAAAAAATCACTGTGATTCACCACATTCATTAAAGGGGAGAAATCATATAATTGACTCAAAGGATAAAGAAAATACTTAGATAAAATTCAATATCCACTTATGATAAAAATTCTAGGCACAGGAACAGAAAAAAACTTCTTTAACTTGATAAAGAGTAACATTAAAAGCATTCCCTTTAAGATTAAGAATAAGATAAGGATGCCAGCTCCTGAAAGGCTCAGGCAACAAGAAAAGAAAATACACCAGTTAGGAAAAAAACCAAAACTTTCTTTTCAGATGATTTGATAATGTATATAGAGTATCCTAAGGAATCTAATGATCTACTTCTAGAATAAGAGAGTTTAATAAGGGGGTCTAATCAATTTGGACGTAAGTAAGATGTTGGAACTGGAATTCAGAATAATGATTATAAAGATACTAGCTGGGCTTGAAAAAAGCAAAGAAGACACTAGAGAATCCCTTTCTGGAGAATTAAAAGAACTAAAATCTAATGAAGTTGAAATAAAAAAGGCTATTAATGAGATGCAATAAAAAATGGAGGCTCTAACTGCTAGGATAAATGAGGCGGAAGAGAGAATTAGTGATATAGAAGACCAAATGACAGAGAATAAAGAAGCTGAGAAAAAGAGAGATAAACAACTACTGGACCATGAGAGGGGAATTTGAGAGATAAGTGATACCATGAAGTGAAACAGTATTAGAATAATTGGGATACCAGAAGAAAAGAGAGAGAGAGGCAGAAGGTATATTGGAGCAAATTATAGCAGAGAACTTCCCTAATCTGGGGAAGGAAAC